CAGTTTGCTCCTGAACATCCCTTGAAAACGAAAATCATTGACAACCTTGCCATCGGGTTACTGCGGCTGGCACCTTCTACCAGTTGGGCTGTCTCTGGTATCTGTGGATCGTACAGAGACGGACGGGCTGGAAGGGAGTTTTGATTTTTTCGAAATTGAGCGGGATATGGCGCGGTACTGGGGTTCAGATTCTTCCTGCAGTTTCCTTTTACCAGTCAAAAGTGTCAGCGTTTCGTGGCTTATGCTGTATTTCATGCACAGTTCGATTTATGCGGAGTTTTTTGGTGTCAGAAGGGGACTTTTGTGCTGCAAAGGAGCTGAACACAAAAAAGCATCGATGCAAGAAAAACGATGCAAGGTATCGAAATACTTTTCCTATAAAGTGGCCTTGAGCTTCCTCGTTGAGCACGGAGGAAGCTCAAGGCCACTTTATAGGAAAAGTATGCAAACTTGGGACATGTTGTCAGAAACGTGTGCGTGTCAGGCCAGATACACGCCCGGTATTCATGAGACGTTGCCTCCTACTCGGAATAGTCGGGCCATCTCTAATTTATAATTTAGCTGTCCAGCATTGCAGCTGCTAAGTTCTTCAATTTGCTTTGACCATTGCTGCAGCGCCCGGTGATCAGTCTGCAAGGGGATTCGTTTCGTCTTCTGAAGGGATTACTAGTTCAATGATTCTTCAGAAGGCACGGCACTAATTGTTTGAAATGTCTTTGATGTGCTCTGAGGAAGACCATCATGTTCGAAATGTCCCCACTTCGAGACCATGGTAAAGCATATTGCTGGTTAGGATCTGCCACATATTTTTATGCGTTTTTTGCAGCTATGCAATGCAGAAAACGCATATTGACGAGAGGTTGTCTGTGTGTTCGTGTGTCTGTGTGCCTGTGTGTGCGTCTGTCACGCACTTTCATCTCCGGACCTATAAAAGCTGCGATGTGTCTGTGTGTGCGCTGGGCCTCTGTATCGGTTTTTCATCTCGAGACCGGCAAAAGCTACGGAGCTGAAACTTTGGGGACTTGTGCGTGTGTGTGTGCGCTGCGCGTCTGTACCGATTTTTATGCGTTTTGTGCTGTGTAACAGCCGCGTTTTTTGCAGCTATGCAATGCAGAAAACGCATATTGACGAGAGGTTGTCTGTGTGTGTGTGTGTCTGTTTGTCCGTGCGCCTGTGTGTCTGTGTGTTCGTCTGTACCGATTTTTCATCTCGAGACTGGCAAAAGCTATGGGGTTGAAACTTGGGGGGCATAATCTACATGCACGTAGGGGCCCCCATCCCCAAAATTGGTGCCAAAACCCGCGTGGTACCCGCGCACGGGTCCGTCAAAGTTTTTTTGGGGTCAGTTCATAATTCGAGGATCTGAGAAGCTAGAAGGCTGAAATCTTGGGGTAATGCTCCCCGCCAAGCGGGTAATAGTGGACTCAAACCCAGCCCCCGGGTAGGCATGGTACCCCGCACGGGTTCCCCAAAATTTTTCCCGCGCAAATTCATAACTCGGGGCTCTGAGGCGCCAGAAAGATGAAATTTTAGGGTGATGTTCTCCGCCCAAGCGGCTATTAGTGGGCTCAACTCCAGCCCCCGGGTAAGCGTGGTACCCGCGCACGGTTCCCCCAAAGTTTTTCTCGCGCAAGTTCATAACTCGGGGATTTAAGAAGCTAGAAGGCTGAAAACTTGGGGTAATGTTCCCCACCCAAGTGGGTATTAGTGGGCTCAAGCCTACCCTCCCCGCCCCCGGGTAAGCGTGGTACCCACATACGATCCCGCCAAAGTTTTTTCCGTGTAAATTGATAACTCAACTACCTGAGAAACTTAATGAATGCAATTTCAAGAGGATATACCCCGTCCATCTAAGTTTCATTCAGCCCGAACTCAGCTCTCAGGTATGCCTGGTGAACGTGCACGGGCCCGTGAAAATTTTGTTCCAGTAAGATGCTAACTCAGGTGCCAGGGAAGCTAGAAGGTTGAAATTTTAAAGGGAATGTTTTCTGACAGTTCT